GTAAACGACGACCGACGACGAAAACAATAACCTCCAAGAGTATGCCCTCCAAACCAACTTTCCATTTTTTCACTCACTCTTAGCATTATGGTAAGGACTTCAGCTGTTTGCCTCAGTTTAACAAGTGAAAGACACGGAAAGAAGACGGATCCTGACTGACATCGATGGCTTATACGTGCTGACACTGTTGCTGTTACGGCTGTTGCAATGACTGGTTTAGCCGGCTAACATGACGTCTAAGATCGCTGTCTTTTACCTCTGTCCATCAGACAATGTCCACCTATGTAACAGTATACTGACCGCCCAGAGGGAAATTCATCGTCAGCTCTGACGGTGTCTCATCAGGTCATAACTTGCCCAGTATTTTTCCGGTGCCATCCAGGGAAGGGAGAGACGTTTTGTGTAATGGAGGTGACACCATCTGCTGGATATCTCAGCAGGTGTTAAAACCAATGCAATCGCAGTTCGTTCAGAGCAGCAGAACTGGACGACGTTGCAACGGGTGCAGATAGATAAGTTAGATATGTGGCGAATAAATCATGTTCGCGAGATGATTCATAAATACCAGTAGTCGAAGGGTTCTAATTTCTCCACTTCTCCGCGTTCGACTCTTATGGTCCAGGAAGGATGGAGTGGGAAGCCACCTACTAAGAACTCGGTAGTTCGTGTTCATACTCATTTTCGGTCATTTTCATAGGGCTTGAAGAGCTGAAGGAAAAGATCCGTTGCTGCTGCTATCCTAGTCGTAATTTCACCTTCAGATTGTCCACTGAATAACGTTTCGCAACATAACCTACCCAAGTTACACACATGGACCATTTAGATGTTCATACTGAGTTTGACCATAAATGGCCATGAGAACGACTCGACTCTAGAGACAAAATATAAGCATGGCAGTAGATCCACTGTTCTCGTAGAATTATGTGGTAATGCTGTAGCCTTGGGTCTTCTCCCAGACTCTTCTTTACATGCAAACTCTTACATAATGCACCCGTCGCATTAAATAATCAATATCATATTTCATCAGTAGCATTCACCATTACCTTAACGCAATAGCGCGATAAAATGCTGGTTTCGTCCGGTTATTCTGAAATTTTCAGAATATCTTTAGTGACGTGGCAAGCTGTCATTTCCGGTAAGTCATAAAGACTTGAGCTTTCCCGTCGTCAAAGAACTAACAATATCCATATGGCAAGGTGGTTCACCTTAAGCGGTAGGAACGAAGTTCAAACCTCGAAGACGAAAGAACATCCTGTAATTGCCTTTCCCCTAAATTTACAATTTCAGTCCGCTTAGACAAAGCTGTTTAGCTGTCATCAAGCTTAGTTAAACTGAAACGGCATATCATCATTGTCTTCATGAAAATACCAAATCAGCATCATGATCAGGATCAAGCCAACGTATGTTTGATCAACTTCAGTCAGTCCTGTTATGATTCTGAACAGCTTATAATTTACTGACCACCTTCGGTGAGGATAATGAGGGTTTAACTCGCCCGGGGTATGAAACGTTTTAATTGAAGTGTTGCCGACATCGGCTGTGACCACAAAATTTTACAGCTTTCAATTCAAATACGATTACCTGGTTTTAGAACTAGACCCATCACCATCACCGGCCATCGAAAACATGCCGGGCCTTGCCGTGTCGACGAACAAAGAACTTCATGCCCGTGCTCATCATACTCTTTATGCGTAAGATAGAAATGTCATACCATCAGAATAACCCATGCTATTCAGATACCACTTAGTCAACCCCTTACATGAATCTAATAGAAAGAAAACAGCGCCACCTGTGCTTACAAGGTCAAAAATTTTAGGACTTATAAAAAACGAATCTTAGAAATTACCTCTGCACCTCCCTCCCCCTCCCTCACCAGTGGGAAAATGACAAGTCATTACTACTATTATTCATATATTCATCATCTGATTCACACTCACCTCCTTAGACTGGAAGGAAGGCCATGAAGCAGAACACAGACGCGAAACAACAATCTGTATTGTATGCTCTACTGCTTTGTAGCCATTAGAGAGTGTGCCTGGGAACGAATGCTTGAGACGAGCAACAGATATGGACTCCGGGGCTTCCTCCGGAATATATTCTGTTTCTCTGGCAACATGCAGGTTTCCAAAGAAGCGGTACGACATTAGCTCGCATCATCGCTTCGTGTTGGTGTGTAAAACGAAACCATTACTTGTTCTCAGAACAACTTTCGCTGCAATTTCTTGAACAGCGAAATGACTGTATAAATTTCAGGCCTTCTTATTAAACAGAATTTAAGATTCAGGTCTGCACTGCCTGCTCGTTCGATAAATGAACTTCTTCAGAGCGAGGTCATGAGGCACAGACCTTCCATCGTACCAGAAAAATGTCGCGCACGAGGACCAACTGGTGTTCTCGCTTTGATCCACTTCCATTCGACTATGCCAGAATTCAGCACCAATCATGTTCGATCTCGTCACTTCTTCACAAACTGTCAGGCCACAACTCAGGCCATAAGCTATTGGACATGCATTCCGTCACTGTAAATCTTAATTCGTTTCTTGTCTGTGTTGTTTCTATAAGCGGTTGATGCGAATTTACGACACAAGCGGTTCAGCATGCTTATTATAGCATGATGCGATCCATTGTACATTATCTTAGAATACGGTATACTTACACGGAAAATGCGCAACTTCTAAAACAGCTAAATGCAAGGAATAATGTAGCAGCACTAGTCAGCGACTGGATTCTACTTCCACAGTCTGATATCAAACAATTTCTCTGGGCATTTTTTAATTAATCGTTTTACATGCCATGTTAATATGTTATTAATGTACATAAAATATGATGAATATGATCAATGGAAAATTTAAACATTGTTAAAAATGATTTATTTATACACATCGCAAACAAATAAGCTGGTCAGTGGAATGACTGACCAGTACCGTTGCTTCCGCACGTCCCTTACGAGCCTTCTTTAAGATGGTCTGGAACTGCCGTGACCTTTGGAGTTAAAGATCAATATGGACCACCACGACGAAGAATCGTAAGGGACGTGACGAGTCGAAACGTCGATACTCATCAATCACCCGACTGACCAACTTATTCATTGGCGTTGTGCATAAATAAACCGTTTTCATAAATTTTCCACTTTTCAGTATGAACACCAATGCACCAATAAATTATTCAATATGATCTACCATATTTCATTTAACGCAACCATTTTGAACTCCTTCTCAAGACTAAGATGCAAAATTCAGTTAAGTATGCCAGAACATCCATGTCAGTCGATCGTCAACTGTAAATATGCAAGATTTTATGTACTGCTATTTTGTACTGTTGATCTTAACGGCTGGACGGGGGTCGTCTTGCATATTAATTCAAGAGCAGGGCTTGATATAAATTTTTATCATGTGCTCTGCCTTCTGAGGGCAATGTGACCGTTGATGCCCAAGATGAGCCGTTCGTCCGGAGGATGCTTGGTGAGTAATATGTGGCGAAATGGAGAGAATATAACAGGCTTTGCGTGTGAAAACCAAAAGAATTCTAGTGTAATATCGTTGCTCAAAGTTTAACATTCCTTTCTTTAGTCATCCAAATAAAGAATAAAATTTTTTCATCGCTAATTTGTCGAGGAGGCAAAGAATGTTTCGGCTGTAATGCAAAATGCCATACCCCTTACAACGTCGTGCATAAAAACATGGCTATTCAGTGAGAAGACAACTTCAAGAAAACCAGTCTAGATTTCAAGGATAACTTACCATAACTTCTTCGTTTCCTCTGCTGCTACTTTTATCCTATCGCTTAATGTGGTACGTTGGTGGAACTCTGATGAGGCCATGAATCAGAGAACTACTACGCGAAGGAACCACTAGAAAGCTGCTCACAGTTATGACTGGGCGAACAAACCTGACGGAAGGGGTATGACCAGTAATCACTACGGGAAAACGTCGACAAATGGCTGACATATCGGTGAAACGGAAACCTAACAAGAAAGCACGGCTTGCTCTACTGAAATTCGTTCCTGACCAAGCTACACGATTTCTCGAGTGTGAAGCGCTTTCGCTCTTCTACTGGACACTGCGCCAATACAAGGCAATAAGCATAGGCAATTTTCGATCCACCGCTGCATTAAGACCTCTTCAGGTCCTGCTACATAGGCAGCTTACTCTCTCTTGGAACCCAGTCTAATGTCTTCTGCTCTAGCGATGGTCCGCTCTTCGTGTAACGTGTCCAGTTCATTACCATCTTAACTTCTTCGCTGAAGCAATGACTATGTAAGCTTTTGTTTATGTTCTTAGGCATACAGTCGACTTGCTATCTTTCTTGTCATTCCAAATATACATTTTCGTTGCAATCTGACCTCCTTGGAAACAGTAAATGATAAAAATTTTAGCAGGATAGTACCGAAGCTGAAAACTCGAACTACCAACTTATAAGGTGAATCATACAGTCTGCATAGTTTTGCGTGTTTTCTGCATCTGGCATGTTCACATGAACAGGAGAAGACTGCCGAAGATGAAAGAACACAGCAACGTTCAGCGTCCGATACCTCTGAATGAGATATGCCAAGTGTAAAAAGTGTAAAGTACAAAGAATTGTGTAAAAGTGTAAAGTGTACAAGTGTAAAAGAACCAGATATTTCAAGGCTTCAGTTGCGGAACGCGGCCGTCACAGGATGATCGGTTCGTCTGCACATATTATCCTATCGAACGTTTCGACGTTCGCTTGATAAAGAGACATGCATATGAGTCGCTCAATGGAAGATAACTTCTTTACAAGTCACCACGGTCCGGTCAGTTTCGCATATGCTAATATCTTCACGAGGAAACACTGCAGTATAAAACATAATCTTTGCAGGATTCCAGTTTCCGTACAGGCGAGGATATCTGAACCTATGCCTAAGAACAACATTAAGAGAAATGAGTGCATAGTACGGCGAAGACTCACGATGCGTGGGAAGGGATAAAATTTAATAACAAAGTTGCTTTGCCTTTGCCCTTGCACCTCGTTCCGTTTGATCACTCATTCATTGGTTCATTTGCAATCACTCGACATGTCTCGCCTGTCGCTGGTTTCTCTCTAACCCACCTGTTGCACTTGTACGGCTTGTCCGTCTGATGGCATCGCGAATGGCTCTGCAGATTAGACAGCTGACTGAAGGCCTTCTCACAACCGGGATACCTGCATTTGTACGGCTTTTCACCCGTGTGCGTTCGCAGATGCTGTTGTAGGTGCGACAGCTGCGTGAACTAGAACAGAAAAAGAAGAGTGCCTCAGTCGGTGGAGACATCGGTCAAAGAAAATCGACGGACGAGACGAGGACCGAACTTGCGGACAGGGTTTTGAGGCCCGCGGTTGTCGCCTCGTCCCTCGATCATAACCGAAAATAAGAAGCGTTCGTTACCTTTCGCCCGCAGTATTGACAGGGACCGAACGGCTTGATGCCCAAATGGATTCGCATATGTTGCGACAGGTACGACGAGTTTGCAAAACTCTTCGGGCAATGCGAGCATTTGTACGGCTTTGCCTCGCGCATGTGAACCTGCGTATGGATCTGCAGCTCGGCCTTGGAATCAAACATCTGAAACGGAAGACACGATAAGCAGATCAGAGATATGGCAGCAAAACAACGACTACAGCAGCATCAACAGCCGTGGGGACCACGAAACTACGACACCAGACACGAGAAGCAAAACGTCAGTCATCACTGGTCGGTCAGTCGGTCGGTCAGCCGCCGAAACAGTCATCTGCTTAAGGGAACGTGGGGGCTCTGTGAGATTTCTTGTCACCGCGCCTAGTTCATTAATTGCCAAATAGTCAATTAATTAAGCGTTCACGGAGCACGTCGATTATGAACAGAAACGGGCTGTGAATTACGAAGAAAAACTAACAAAGTCGTCTTCATCAGAACTGTTGGAACATGGTACTCAGTTCAGCAGAGCAGAGACAACGCCACGAATAATCTCGAAAGCAGTCTAACGGGGGGAGGAGATGGGGCAAGAAGTGTGAGTGGGGAAAAGGGGGGGCGTAGAGGACACTGAGTACAAAGAAGTACCGGAAGTTAACCGACCGACAAGACAAGACCTCACATCCCTAATCCTCAGAGCCTCGCCACTGTCAGATCAATCATCATTGCTCAGACAGCGATGGAGGCTGCAAGGCGACATTCGCAGACACGCGCGAGACGAAATGGCAAACGGTTGCGGCGGCGGTGGCTGTGGCCTAAAAAACTTCGCGCAAATAA